GCTATTCTAGGGAATTGTGTGCTTCTAATTTTATACCAATAGTTTGAACAGGACCATTTTCTATTCTAACACAACAATGCCTCTGTGTATAAGGCAAGGTTAAAAAAAAAAAAAAAAAGATTGATTTAGTCAGTGTGGAAGAACTTGATTGGTCTGCAGAAAGCCAAGTCCTAATCCCAGCTGAACACCTCTGGTGTGACTTTAAATGAAGACCTTGAGGCAAAAACACACCAAACACCTGTGACTTGTACATACATATGGACAGATGTATTGGGACACCCCTTTCTTTAGAACAGAAAAAGGCACCCAATACTTTGGGCAATATAGTATATGTTTGGTGCGGTAGGGGGCCCAACCTCATATTCTTTCATAGGACCCAAAATTGCTAGCGGCGCCCCTGCATAGGGCTGTATGCTTCATATTTTAGAGTAGCAGTTCAATTTGGGAAATAATTCAAATAAATCTGTATGTGGATGTGTGTAAATATTCAAATGTAACCCCTTTGATTTGTGAACAATATTTGAGAGAAATAGGCCTTTTGTGTACATAGAAAAAGTCTCAGATCTTTGAGTTCAGCTCATGAAAAATGGGGGCAAAAACAAAAGTGTTGCGTTTATAATTTTGTTCAGTGTAGTTACTCCCCAACACTGCCTGTATATATGGGCCATGGCTACCTGTACAGGTGTTCTAGTTACAGTGAGCTGGGATTTAAGGATGGACTGGGGATAACTTCAGGGAAATGGCCTGCTAAAAGACGAGTTGGTGTTCTCCCAACAGGTAAAAGTTAGTATACGTTTGTAACACTTATCTTTTTATGGTTTTTATTAACAGTTTTTTGGTTGATCTGGAGATTGTCTTTGTTAACATTATATGGTATATTAAAGGAGTGGTTCACCTCAAACTTTTGGTGTTATCCTCACACAAAACTATTGTATAGCTTCGGAATACTTGGAATATTTATTTAGATATTTATTTAATTTTACAGCTTTACAGTCAAGGTTTCCAAGTCTGTGGTTAAAGGTTTGACACATTGCATAAATTATATTTGACAGAAATGCTTGTATTAAAATAGTTTACTCTACCATATTCATATTGTAACAATAATAAAACTGTGCTAGATGATGAGAAAGAGTGAGGAGAATTTTGTGAGGGAGCGGCATTGAGAAGGAACCTGTGTGCAGCTGTTTTCATTTACATGGTAACAAATTGGCAGGTCTCTCCACAATTATTGCTAGTATAAAAAAATATAATGTTATCTATGGAAGCATTTTCTGTCGATTGATATCTTGAAATGCTAATTTTATATTGTGAACTGTTAATATTCATTTTCAAATAGTTAAAACATAAAGGATTACTACCTCCCCCAAGATGTTATTTATTTATGAAAACAGTCTGTGTATGATTACTACTATACAGTGATTTTCAGGTATAACAGTGACAGTAAAATATATATTTTAGCTATAAGAGTGCATGGCATATTTGAAGTGTTGCTATTTAGGCTAGTTTCTGGGCTAGTTTAATTGCTCATTGGGCTGTGTTTTGTTACACAGATTTGGCAACCCTCTTAACCAGGATATCATTTAAAAATTCAAAATTTTTTCCCACAAAAGAAATAAATGTTTTTGGATTGAGTAAGTAAAATTGACCTTTTACACATTTTTTTTGTGAACTTTTCCTATGCACATACCCATAAATGTCTATCTGACCCACATTGTACAGAAATTGGATATTAATTCTCAAAAGTAAAAAATGTATTCATGCAACAGACAATATCAGCCCACAATCTGGGTTAGAAAAACGTTTAGTAGTAGAGATACCAGTGTACCCTTCTGTGCTGTCAACATTTAAGATCCAGCATAGGTATTATTTGGTAAATTGACCATACATGACAAATCACAGCTCAAAAGACACAATTTGTTGTTTGTGATTTAGTCTGTGTGGTGACCGTGACAGTGAAAGCAGGCTATAAAGGGTCAAACGGACCCGCAACTGACCCACAACATCAACATCTTTAATATTGAGAGATGTGCTCTTTCAGTCATACTACTATGCAGCCATGCTGGCGGATGTGCTGTTGCGGGTCTCCTGGGCTATAAATATCCTCCTGGCTCAGATGAAGAATTCAGCTGCAGCTGCCACAGCAAGTGCCCTGCTGGCACCACTGGAAGTCCTCAGGTTAGATTTCAGTCACACACTCTAAGCAGCAAGACAGCAGGTAGGTAAACTTGTAATCCAGGATGATCAGCGCAAATTACATTTTGCTATAATTTAAGTTTAGAGAGCCGGTGACACAGAAGAAATATTCAGGATTATATTGTACTTTGAGCAATTTGTTTTTATACTGTAAAGATTTTTCAGTTTTTTTTTTTTACTATATTTGACAAGAAAATACTAATTCAGTCTTTCTACTTCAAAGCATCACATTGAATTAAATGTGTTAGTTACTTTTTCATTGTAATTAATTTTAAAATTTGCTAGCAGTGAAAATAGTTTTCAGTGAAGGAAACATCTTTTTAGAGTTTATTTGACTATTTAGCAGAGTATTTATTATTTGATGTATTCACTTCCTTAATCGTTTCTTTCTGTTCAACCATACGTTTTATTTGGAATCTCTTACGGCTGGAGAACAAGCAACTGAAAAACTGAGAAATATTGTGCTGCTCGTGATTTCTGCAACATCTGGAGGCATCTGGAAGAGGATCAGGATGTGCTATCTAAAAACCATCACAAAATCACCACACATGCCACAATATGCTGTTTACCTCGCCCAAATCGCAGGTTACTTTCTGGACAGCTGCTGAATCTGTTCCAGCTTAGTAGTTTTAAAAAGAAGTGTTTAATAATTCAAAGAACATAGTCAATGATATCTGGAAAATGAACAATGTTTTTCTTTTGCAGGGTAAAGGAGACAAAACTGCCTGTTGGGGGAACAGATGCAGAGATCCATCCATGTATTTAAAGAAGAAAATCTGCCTGTATGACTTGAACAAAATTCAGTTTGAGATATTTGAGTAATGCAGGTAGGCAAATGAGATGTTAGATAAGAAAATGATAATCCTATTAACGATAATGAATTCTGTAACTATCTCTGTTCATCCAGACCAGGGATGGGCAACTTCGGTCCTGGAGGGCCACTGTAGAGTTTAGCTCCAACCCTAATCAATCACACCTGAACAAGCTAATCAAGGTCTTCAAGACAAAGGAGGTCTTTCCTTTTGTGAGGAAACAGCTTATCATTTAATGAATTGACAGCCTATCGGCTAATCTTCAACATGTTTTACACTAAACAATAATTTTGGATTGAACTATTTTTAGAGTTTACACCGGAAAAAAAAAATACCGTTTTATAATAGAAGTTACGGACTTTTTGCGACAGGTGGGATTCAGCTTACGGCAGTTCTCATTTATTCCTATAGTATCCGTAAACGGCGATTGAGTGTCGCACAAATGAAATTCAATGACGTCAAGGCTGAAATGTGATTGGTTATTGAGGCAAACGTAATCCAAGTTGACCGTTATGCTTTCTCCAATAGTAAGTAATACAGACCCTCTCATCTCCAAATAGTAAGACAATCTCTGCTTAAGATCACTAGAAAGCTACAGGCAGGTGTGTTTGATTAGGGTTGGAGCTAAACTATGCAGGACAGTGGCCCTCCAGAACCAAAGTTGTCCATCCCTGATCTAGACCTTATTGAGACATTTCACATGTATTGTATTTTCTGCATTCAAGTAAAACTGTGCTAATGTTTTCTCGTTCCAGCCATGTTAAATCAATTTCATTGTAATCAAGCAAAAGTCCTTTTTAACAAACAATAATAGGCATAACCTAATTATCCCTCAAAATAATCCTTTCCTTTATTTCGCTTCCAAAAACAATCATACAATCACGTTTCAAATGTCCAGACCAGCTGATATGCAAAAAAAACGGCAAGCATTTACTATACAGCAGCTTGAGAACAAGAGTAGGATTAAAAAGCTTGAGAGGGAAAACTGAGAGTCCAGGCTGCTCTCTAGAGAACTGTTGTTCTCTGTTCAGCTTCCCATACTGTACTGAACGCTGCAGTCCCACAGTCAGCTTTGTACATAGCAACCCCACTGTCCTGCTGGAGTCAAAGCAGTATAGTTGATTTCTGAAGCATGTAAGTTGTGTTATATTAAGGAGAGCCTTTGTCCTTCACTTGTTTTTGCCATGCAGAAGTCCATGATCCATTTGTTTCTGTAATTGGCAAAAGCATTTAGTCAGAAATGCCAGAGCTTATGCATCACATGCATTCATAAAAAAACAGACTGCAGATTGCCTTAATACTGGACTTGTATATTTGCCGGTATTTACGTATGCTAAGTGGCTTCATTAAAGATCCTTACAATTTCTTAGTAAGTCGTGCTCAGATGTTTGCATAACCCTTGGGGAATCAGTAAAACATTTAGTATTTTTTTAAAAATAAGATAATAAAATGTGTTTTTTGTAAAATGTTTTTTTTAGTAATTCAGTACTGTCCTGAAGAAGCTGCAAAACAGATATTTGCATACATTTCGCAAGAAAAAATTAATTACACAAAAATCCTAATCAGACATTTATTTACATTTGATTCTTAATATTGTGAGTTGCCTCAAGCATCACAGTTTTGTACGAGTCCCTCAATTATCCAGAGCAGCAAAACTGGATATCAGCATTATATAGCCACTGTAGGGAAGAACTCAAATGTGCAGAGCATGCTGGGAAACCAAATAACTTACATGACCTGGAGGTTTTGTCAAAAACAGCTTCACTACTCCGGACAAACCAGAAACTCATGCACAACTATTACAAAAGACCTACAAACAGTCACTGATGCTTGAGGAGGCATTATATGATATTAAAATCCAAGGGTATGTAAACTTTTGAAAAGGATCAGTTAAATGTAATTATTTTGTCTCGTAGAATAAATGTAAATATCTCTCAAATAGCTTCATAAGGTAAGTAACTAAAATGAGATTATGATCCATTCTTATTTAAAAAAAAAAATTGTAGATTCTGCAAGGGGTAGGTAAACTTGTAATCACAACTAAATTTAATGCAGATGTTTTTCAGTCTATCCTGGAAAAAATGTTATATGTCCAGTTCCCATGATCATGCAGCTTTAATGTGATGTTCATTGGCATGGGAGATTTGCCTTCTGATATTGATCCTTTTTGGTGTGAGAAGCTGCAGGCCAGTTTTTAATAGTATGAAATGATGAAATGGAAGAAGTCACTGATCGTCTTTTAGTGGTCTCTGTCTGTTCTGTTCCTCTCTCTGTGATATGGGGCTGCTGGTTGCACGCTCTTTTTCCCCTTTCTTGCTGGCAGGGTTGAGGGCAAGCACACTGGCTGCCCTCTCTGGACTTTCCGGAAGCTTTTCAACTTCCTGCAGGTTGTCTGACTCTTTGGCTCGGCTTGGCTCAGTCTTGACTTCTTTACCTTTTTGGGACCTCTCTTCTATATTGAAGTGAGAGCCATTCCTCAGTGTCTCTCTGCAGTCTCCATAGAGATGCTGCTCCAGAGTCAGATTTGACGCTGCCAGGTGTTTGAACTCTGACTCAAAGGGAAAGCCACTGCCTGGCTGGGTAGCTCCTTCCACCTGGCTCAGGACCGCAGTCCCCCTGTACACTTCGATTGCCTCTGGAAGCATGGACTTGATCTTGGGGAGCCAGCGCTTGCGAACTCTCCGGGCATTGGTGCACATGTCTGCGGCGATCACATTCATCTCACTTTCTTTGAAGTTAGGGGCAAAGTTCTGACAGTAGACTAATGATAAAACAGAGAGAAAAAAGGAATATTAATGCTTCAAGTCAATATTTAACATATTTCACATCCATATTGTAACATATTACAAATCAAACAGGAGAAAAGTTGGTAAGGTGGAACTGATTGGATCATGAAAAGTGGAAATTGGAGGCAAGGAAAGTTTTAATGAAAGATTTTAAAGCCAAATTAAAAAAAAAGTTAACCAAGCAATCATGCCCACTAAGACCAGTAACATAAATAGAGTAAATTTTGCTTGTTGTAACAGCATAGCAAAGGGTCACTCACGTTTCACTGTGTTGAGTATGCGACTGTCCAGTGGTTTGCGATTCGGATCACAATTTGAGGAACGTATTCCAGTCCCACAGCTGTCAGCCAGTGTGTTCCTGCAGTCAAAATACCATAGTCAACCACTGGAGGGCACACACACAATATTTTTCCAAAACACCATGCAGTCCTTATTGTTATCAAACACAATATACTGAAACATTTGAATGTTAGAACACTGACTCCATCTCTGCTTGGCTACTTTTACTGTAGAACTGAGCTCTTAGTATTTCAGACATTCTATAGAAACACATGCATGCTTGTTACAAATTTGTAATGTTTTAGACCTGTCAAAAAAAGCAGCTAGGAGGCGTCTCAGCAGGACTTTGTGTTTGACCCCAGCACAGAGGTGACAGTTCATCAGCTGCCCACGAGTCATGAAGACACCAGATCCTTCCACAGCACCAACAGAGAAACAAGGAGACCTTAGCTCTGAATCAGTGACTCAAATGACTCAGTCTGAACTGATAAATAATTCAGATGGACATGGAGTTTCAGACAGGCTGCTATTATTCAGGCCTCACCTGCAATCAGCTCCAGTCTCTCTCCAGGGTTGCCCTCTGTGTAGAGAGCAGGGTGGCAACGGTAGCCGATTTGGCTGATTAGTCCGGCAGGCAGAGCCTCTCTGTCTCCTCCTAACAGCACACAGAAACGGTTCTCCAAGGACAGAGGCAGGGAGGACACCTCCATCTTCTCTTTCACTGGGAAGAGACAAAACAGATCACACTCAAAGGGATCAATCCGTAGTGTTTTGAGCTGCAATGGAGGAAAAGAGAAGTCCACTAAAAGACATTTACTGCCACAGATCCCGGACAAGCCCCCAAAGATCTTCCCATTTGTCAGGCTCTCGTACGAGTCGTCTTCAAAATCCTCCTCCTCATTTTGGTGTGAAGTTGGGCTGTCTGTGGTCGGGAGGCTAGAGGCACCGGGACTGGCATGATCTCGGGTCGAGAGCTCGTAAGCATGCATCACAGGTATGACCCCGTTTATGCCTCCACTTGTGTAAAAAAGAGTGCCATTCCTTGAAGATCTGCCCCTAGGTCTCCTGTCCTCCTCAGAGTACTTTAGCTCCCCATTCTGAGCACACACCAGGGTCTCCAGCTTCTCTTCCTTGATCTTGCGGACAGTTGTTGGTTGGTCGCCTAGCAACAGGGAGGAGTTGTTGTTGTTTGGGCTCGGGGGATCGTCTGTGGCAGATGTCTGCGAGTCACAGTATGGAGCGCTGACCTTGAACATGAGGTCCATTCCTCGCTCTATGATGTTCTGGATCTGAAGGTAGCCTGCGGTGTACATGACCATCAGCTGATCGCTGGCACTCACCGTCATCCGGCCCGTGTAGCAGAATGACAGAATCTGCTGGAAGCAGGATGGGGCCACAGACGAGGGCAGCTCAAAGAGCGTCTGGGCACTACCGCTGAACAGATCACGGAAGTAGAGGCTGCTGGCCGCCAAAACAGCACGGTGGGCCTTGAAGGCCTGTCCGTTGACCATGATGGCCACATCGCAGTGCTGGCCCAGCAGCCGCTGTTCATTCAGGCTGTCCAGAACAGTGCTGCCGAAGTTTGGAATCTCCATGTGCAAGAGCTGAGACATAATGCCCGTTTCAGATCTCTGGAGAAGACAGGATGTTCTCACCAGACATCTAAGACAGCAGAAAGTCAAAATGAAGGTGGACCGGCTTGATGAGGTAACAAACAGAAAATGACTAGATTCAAAAGTCACACAATGTTTATCTGGTGCAGACACAGCAGAAAAATGCGACAGAAATGCTGCACAGCAACTCCCTTGGTAAACAGCTCTCTTCACCCCAACATTACTAGAGTCTGCATGTTTGGCAACTCAGCATAAGCTTGCCTGGAGTATTCAAAAGAAGCTGAAAAGTGACCGACAAACACACCCACCCACCTGCCCTCTCCACCCCGCCACTACCTGACCTCTATAGCAGAATCGTCCGAGATGAGAGAGAGAATGCAGGCAGGCTCCTCACAGCAGCTCAGCATGAGGAAAGGAACCTTGAGAATCAGAGATACGTCTCAATCCATCCTCTTCCTCCCCGCACAGGACTGAGCCAGCGAGAGGGAAAGCAAGCGTCTATGTGCAATCGATGCACCATCTACTGTATGTCACAGAAAGGGGGAGAGAGGCTATAGGCACAGACACAGAGACTAGGGAGAGAGGGGGAGGGAGTGAGACTGAAGGAAAGTCATTTAAGGACAGAGTGAGAGAGAGAGAGAGAGAGAGAGAGAGAGATTGAGCGAGAGAGACAGAGAAAGAGAGAGAGCCTGATGCGGATAACTGCCCTGCAGAGAGTAAACGTGTTCATGTGCGATGGAGACAAAAGACAGGCAAGACAGAAAGAGAGAGAGAGTGCAATGGCTCACTTTTATTTGAGCATCACCACATGAAGAAAAGACAAGAACGGGAGCGTGCACCCCGCATGCACCAACCCGAACGCGTGCAGACAGATAATCCATCAGAAGCGGTCTCTGCCATGATCAGCTCCGTGCTCAGGATTATTTACATTAAGGGCAGACAAATTGTGTGCCAGGAGAGCAGCTCTGCATTGCAGTCCCTGTCACAGGCTGGCATACTCAGTACAGAGTCTGCATACCCAATCAGATGTGCCAACACGGCATCAGACAGATACTCAACCGATAAGAGAAAGAAAAGAGAGACTCAGCCTCAAAGCTGCCCTGAATGTCAGATAAGTCCATCAAACAGAGAAGCATTTTAAGGCGGCATGTATTAGACGGATGACTGAGAGACTGTAGTGTACAAGTAAGAGTTGAGTACAGAGCAGTGGGGCAGTAAAGCAGCATCTCTCAGCAAAGTGGGGAAGAAGGCGCTATGCTTCAGTCTCTGACTCGCTGGCTTTTAATGCTGAGATGCCGATGGGCTATGGCGTGAGTCAGCGCTATTAGAGATAAACTGCCGTGTTCCAGTCTTCTGTCTAATATCAACAGCAGAAAATTATAATAAATCAATAAAGTGTAGCAGACACACTCCCTGTGAATGCTGCAAAACTTGCTTCCAGCTGTCTGTCTGGTCTCTTTAAAAGCTGTGAAAAAAGCAAAACGTGACACATTAAACTGTCTCTTGAAGAAACTGCCCTCAAACTTTGTTTCCAGTGCAAAATGCACATTGTCATTGAGGAAAATGTCCTTTTCCAGTCTGAAGAGATGAACATAGCAAGTTATTTTACATTTGGAAACAAGAGTGCCTGTGCAGACATCTAAGTTGACAGCTGGAGCTCTAGTAATAGACAGCGTTAGTATGGTCACATGTGTGATGTCCCTGGGGAGAACAGACTGCAGTCTGAGCTGGTGGGGAAAGGGATACTCCATACTGCCTACTAGAGGGCAGACACAGACTTACAAGCAATAGAAAACTTAAATGACCTCCCAATGTGCTTAGACTTGAAGTTGCAGTTACACTGTGTTCTCAGGATGGTACATCCTGTTCTCCTGATAAATGATCATTTAAGAACCACTCTTCAGAAAACCGATCTCAAAATGAAACATATTTACATTATGCCCCATGTAGCAGTATATTATAGTGGTGCTATATAAAACATCAAATATGTGTATGTGCATTGTTGGTAGTTATGAACTAGAAAATGATGGGAATTATACATTTTTATTTGAAAGACAACTTGCAGTGTTCTTTATACAAAATGCAATAACTTTCCTGAAAGGACAAACTACATATATACAGAACCGCCCCCAAAAATAGTCTTTACATAAAAATATAATTCTTAAAACACTGGAAATAATTAAATGCAATGCAATTTACAGCCGTTAATTTGGAGCAGCTTAGAAGGCCACCATTATGTTCACATACTGTCACAACACAGAAGCCGTATTTTATTAAGAATGCTTTATAAATATTTAGCCTCAGGTCCACATTAACACTGTTCCATAAAATAAATATCACAAGCTGAACACATTACAAATCAGCCCACAAACCAAATGCTGATAATGATATTGAAAGTTTTACAATATCAACACATTTTAATTCTAAACTTTGAATCAAAATACTGCTGTAGTGCTATAGATGTTGAACAATAAATGGTCTGTGATCAAGAATCCTCTGAGTACAATTATAGTATAGTAAAATTATAAAATATTTATTGAAAAGTTCCAGTTCAAAAGAGTCTCGGTAATCTAAAGAAAAAAAGAAGAGATTATGAATAAAGGTTTACTCACTAAGTGTGCTCAGTATAACAGAGTACCAAAAACTCATTTTTATTTTTTTGAAAGAGATTATTGTAGTCATTATACAGTATATATGCTGAGTTGCACCAGTACAACCAATTATTAAGCATTAAGACAGGATTTAAAAGGTTAAAAAAAATAGAAATTATGCTTAAAATTAACTTCATGTACCACAGTAGCTCTTGTTGTGACGTTTCTTGCAGACAAAAAAAAAAATTAGAGTTCATATAGCATATTTCAAAAAGAGTTCATATAGCATATTTCAATGGACCATGAGAGTAACAAAACCAAGGGTTTTTCCACATCTGGTCATTGGCAGGCAGTGTGTTACGTGTCACTGGCTTCTCTGCTAGCGACCTTGAGCGACAGAATAAATCATATTCCCAAGTGTTTTTTGGACCATCAAACAGAAATATGGGGACAGTGTGACTTTCATAGAGAGTGAAACATACCCTGTGAGAAACTTAGGATATAATATTTCAATAAAAATCTCTATAAATAATGTAGAATATTCATAAAAATATACTTTGAGCTCGGTTGTTACTTTTACTTTAATAAAATAGTTTCTCCTGTTAAATCATCCTCTCTGTTTGTTTAGGGTTGAGAAATACTCGCTAACAGGTGCTTGTTCACACAACTAGGCCTGATACTCGAGTTGGACTTTCATCAGTCATTAGACAAGTTCTTCATTACAAAGCACTTCACAAAAACATCAACAACAACAAAAACCGAAACAAATAAAAGTAATCAAATAAATTAAAATCTCCTTCAACACTTGGCAGGGGTTTCATATATTACATTCACCTTATCCACAGTTTTCCATCTCAGCATTCCGCTGCTATACGTAAGGCCGGTAGTTTCTGGCTTTCCATCTCTTTGAGCGAAAGCGGAAGAAGAAAAACATAAACATGAGGAAGACACAGGAGAGGGTGTAGAGCAGCACACAGAGACTCATGTCCAGGCTGGAGAATCCCAGACCCAGGAATGTCATCCCTGGCCTGGCTTCTATCTGGACACCGGTGAGTTTCTCTCCTGCACCACTGATGTCTGTCCTCTTCTGATGTTTTGGAACGCTGTCAGGAGATGGCTTTAGGTTCTGGTTGAGGTGACTGTTGCTGTTAGGTTTGGTTATGGCTTTGGGTTTGTCGGGAGCAGGAGGGCCTGGCTCTGGTTGGCTGTTGCTGGAGTATTTTAGGGAGATGTTTGAAGCACCGTAGTGTTGTTTGAGGAAAGCGAGCACCATCTGTTCGTTCCAGACGTGAAGGCCTTCTTGCTCCTCATGGCATGTGGGACAGAGATCAGGAGTCGGCCACTGCGTCTTAGGAAACATGGGGTCCTCGCTCATTGAACCTGCATAACGAGTGCAATCAGCAATGAGGGTAATGTCTGCTAGCATGCGTATGAGAACTTTACATTTATAGTTTGGACATGAAAATATAGTTCTTCCTGAATTTCTCCTTGTGCATCAATGAAGTTTCTTCCTTTCTGCCCTTCCCTCCATCCTTCCCCCCTGTCCCTGTCCCTTTTCCTTCCTTCTTCTTTTTCTTCTTCTTTTCGTTTGTTATTTTTCTTCCTTCTGCTTTTGCCTTTTTTTCCTTCAATTCTTGTTTTCCTTCCAGTCCTAATTGCATACCTTCTTTCTTTCCTACTCCTTGATACTCATCTCTTTTCTTTTCTCTTTCCTTTCTTTTCCATCCTACTTTGTTACTATCTTTTTTCTATTACCTTTGCATTCTATCCTTCACGTCTTTCCTCCTTTCTTGCTTCCTGTCCTTCATTTTTCTCTCTTCATGTTTTTTCCTATCATTTCTCCCACTTCTTTTTGCTTCCAGTTCTAATCCTTGTTCCTTTTCTCTTTTTTCTTCTTCCTTTCTGTCCTTATATTTGTCTCTTTTTTTTCTTTCTTTCTTTACTTTTTTTTTCTTACTCTCTTCCTAAACCATACTGCAGTCAAAAAGTTTGGGGTTAGTAATATTTTTTTTTAATTGTATTTAGTTTTATATTGTACTTTTTACGTATTATATTGTATATATATTTAAAGGGGTCCTATTATGCTTTTTCACTTTTTTAATTTTAGTCAGTGTGTAGTGTGTATGTTTGGGCATAAAAAAGATCTAGAAAGTTACAAATCTCAAAGTCCACTCCAAAGGGAGATATTTTGTTTTTTAAAAATTCCTTTTCAAGAACTACAACGAACGGTTTGGACTACAGCGTTGGTTTCCGGGCATTGTGATGTCACAAAGCGTCTCATTAGAATATCATTAAAAAAATTCCCGCC